GGCTAAACCATTCCAGACACCAAGGTCTCTGTGACAAGTTGGGTATGATTGATATCTATGCCCCAACTTGAGGGGGAGTGTTGATAGGTGTATTATATGTACTGTACACAGGTTTAGTACCCGCAGGGGTATTTTTTGTAATTTTGCAGACCTATTGTGTTGTACGACCAGTATAGTATAAATGCAATGCTTCACTCGACTGAAGCAGTACTTTTGAGGCCTCATTTCAGTTGCCTCTTCTTTTCTTCTTCTTCTTCCTTCCTCCTTCCTTCTCCTTCTCCTGCTCAACAGTGCTCGTGGGAAGTTGGGGTATATCACTGGTGAGGAAGTGAAACCCGAGACTAACAGCTCCCGGTGGGTACATGAAAATTATATAGTAATGACTTGGTTGTGTAATTCGATACTGCCCCATATAAGTAAAAATTTTTTCGTGGGCAAATACAACTAAGGAAATATGGGATGGGGTTGTAGAAACCTACTCACAGAGTGAAAATGTTGCTAGGACCTATTAGTTGAGGAGTCAGATTATTGCTACCAAGCAGGGAGATAGACCTATTGCTATTTATTTTTTGGCCCTTAAAACCCTGTGGCAGGAGATTGACCATCTGGGGATAGTTGTTTGGGAAACCACTAAGGATGTAGCTGCCTACCAGAAGCTCTTAGAGAAGTATAGAGTCTTTGAATTTCTTGCTGGTCTTAATCCCGAATATGATGTTGCAAGGCAACATATCCTCTCCAGGGTAGTGTTACTCTTTCTCAGGCATATGCCTTTGTACCAGGGGAAGAGAGTAGGAGGAATGTGATGATAAAGAATTCTGGTTTTGAACAATTAGCCATGGTCAGTACTATGAAACCTAAACAGAGTGGAGACCGGGGTGGCAGTGAAATCAGGAAGGAAGATAAGAAGGATTTGATTTGTGATTACTGTAAGAAGCCTAAACACACAAGAGATACCTGTTGGAAGCTTCATCCTCATCTTGTGCCGAATAGACTTAAAAGCAAGAAGGGAAATGCTAATATGGCAGTCATTGGTGACATACCTGGCCCCCCTACTATAGCTACTTTGGAGTCTGTTACAGCTGCTGCAGTGAGGGCCGAACTTGAGAGATATGGGTAGTTCCTAAATCAGCGAGATACAGTCTGCCCTAATCTAGTAACAGGTGGACAGCTAGGTACAAGTGGTTTTGGTGGAGGACATTCTACTTCCTTTGCTCATACAAGTAGTTCACATTCAACTACAAATTATGTTTCTACTACAGGTAAGGAGGGACCTCTTTGGATTATAGATCCTGGAGCCTCAGAGCACATGACCCATAGTTCCACTAATTTTTCTTCTTACCAACTCTGTTCTGGCAGAGACAGAGTCTCCACAGCCGATGGATCTCATGTTCCCATTGCTACGAAGGGGTTTGTCAAGATTACTGATTCCACTTCCCTACCCTCTGTCCTTCATTGTGTTTTGCAAGATCTGGATTCAAAGAGGATGATTGGGAGTGGTCGTGAAGTGAATGAAATCTACCTCCTGGATGCGCTTCCTCATCATTAGGGTCATCATGTTAGTAGGGATATTGAGTCAGAGTCTATGAATCAGATTATGCTTTGGCATAATTGTTTGGGTCATTTGTCTTTTTCTTCTTTGCATTTCTTATTTCTAAAGCTATTTGAGTCTGTTAATTTGTCCAATTTAGAGTGTGAAGGTTGTCAGCTTGGAAAACATTGTAGACATTCCTTTAAAACTAGTAATAAAAGTTGTTCATCTTCTTTTGATGTTATTCATTCTGATGTGTGGGGACCATACCATGTTCCTTCTATGGGTGGCTATCGATATTTCCTTTTATTTGTGGATGATTTTTCTCATTATTCTTGGATTTACTTAATGAGATCTCATGATGAGGTACCATCCTTGGTTCGGCAATTTCATCAGATGGTGCTAACACAGTTTGGGGAATGAGTGAAGGTGTTCAGATCAGACAATGCCAGGGAATATTTTGAAAGGAACCTTGCTTTGTATCTGTTAGAGTATGGAGTTATCCATCAGAGCAGTTGTTCTTACAATCCACAGTAGAATGGTGTTGCAAAGAAGAAGAACAGACACATTGTTGAAATTGCAAGAAGCATGATGATCACATCTACTGTTCCAGTTCAGTTTTGGGGTGATGTAGTTTTCACAACAGTCTTCCTGATTAATAGGGTGCCCTCTTGTATACTTGGATTTAGCACCCCATTCAGCCTCCTTTTTCCTAAGGGGGAGATGTTCCACATTCCTCTCAAGGTGTTTGGGTGTGTTTGCTTTGCACATGTTCTTGGTCCTCACCGCTCGAAGCTCGATCCAAAGGCAAAGAAGTGTGCTTATCTTGGTTATGCAGAAAATCAGAAAGGGTACTGCTGCTATGATCTAGTCTCTGGGAGTCGGTATGTTACTATGGATGTCACCTTTTTTGAGTCCACATCCTTTTTCTCAAAGGATCCTTCTCAGGGGGAGTGTTTTGGGGAAGTAAGTGAGCCATCTATTCCTCTTCCAGTTCCAGTTCTTGTGTCCACTCCTGTGCCTGATCCTCCTATATCACCTATCTTACCACCTCCCTTGCGTCCTACTTCTCAGTGTTATTCACGACAGCGACTTCATGGGGAGGTTGATTCCACTGTAGAAGAACTCACATCACTTCCTATCGGTTCCTTGGAGACTCCAAATTCAGTTGACATGGATTCAGGTATTCCTCTTGATCCCTCTAATGTTTCAGTTGTTATTGATTCTACTAATCCCATTACAGATGACTTGGACCTTCCTATTGCACTCAGAAAAGGGAAGAGAAAGTGTACTACTCATTGTATTTCACAGTACCTATCCTACAGTGGATTTTCTTCTTCCTTTCGTGCTTTCCATTCTTCTCTTGGACTCTGTGTCTATACCCAAGGGTGTCAGTGAGGCTCTCTCCAAACCTGAGTGGAAGATAGCTATGCAGGAAGAGATGGAAGCCTTAATTAAGAATCAAACATGGGAGATTGTGGATCTACCAGAGGGCAAGGAGACTGTTGGATGCAGATGGGTTTATACAGCTAAATACAAGGTAGATGGAAGTATAGAAAGGTATAAGGCCAGACTGGTTGCAAAAGGGTACACCCAAACCTATGGCATTGATTACTTAGAGACCTTTGCACCAGTTGCAAAGATGACTTCCGTTCGGATCCTTCTCTCTCTCGCTGCCACATACTCTTGGCCCCTGTTTCAATTTGATGTAAAAAATGCTCTTTTGAATGGAGATTTTCAAGAAGTGTATATGGATCTTCTTGTTGGTTTCTATAGTGATGCTGAAAAGGGGAAGGTATGCAGACTGAATAAGTCACTTTATGGTTTAAAACAGTCTCCTAGAGCATGGTTGACAGGTTCAAGAAGGCCTTGACTGCTTTTGGCTACACTCAGACTCAACCAGACCATACTTTATTTGTGAAGTGGAGGGGTCCCTGGTCAGTCCTGATTGTTTATGTGGATGATATTGTTGTCACAGTAAATGACCTAAGTGAGATTGACAGTTTGAAGAAGAATCTACACAGAGCATTTGAAATTAAGGATCTTGGGGAGCTGAGGTATTTCTTGGGCGTTGAGGTTGCAAGATCAAAACATGGAATTTTTATTTCTCAGAGGAAGTATGTTCTGGACCTTTTGCAAGAAACAGGGAAGCTTGGAACAAAGGCAGCCAGTACTCCTATTGATCAGAATCACAGAATTAATGCATCAGAAGGTGAGCTGGTAAAGGACATTGGGAGATATTAGAGACTTGTGGGGCGACTGCTATATTTATATATGAAAAGACCAGATATCTCCTATGCAGTGAGTGTGGCGAGTCAATACATGCATGCCCCATGAGTCCAGCATTGGGAGGCTGTTGACAGGATTCTTGCTTATCTGAAGGGACACCTAGGCAGAGGCATACTATTTGCTGACCATGGACAATTGAAGCTAGAGGTTTATATAGATGTTGATTGGGCAGGATGCCTTGATGACAGGAGGTCTACATCGGGAGTTTGCACTCTTGTTGGGGGTAATCTAGTCCCGTGGAAAAGTAAGAAACAGACAGTTGTGGTAAGATCAAGTGCAGAAGCTGAATACAGAGCCATGGCACATGGAGTTTCAGAGCTTCTCTGGATCCGCTCCTTGTTAGGAGAGATTAGTGTTGAAGTAGAAGAACCTATGATGATGTACTGTGATAATTAGGCAGCAATTAACATTGCCCACAACCCAGTTCAGCATGATAGGACAAAGGAAATTGAAGTAGATAGACATTTCATAAGAGAAAGGGTGACTTCAGGGGAAGTTTGTCTTCCATACATTGCTTCTGATTTGCAGCTTGCTGATGTTCTCACAAAAGGTGTTGCAAGGAACAAGCTGGAGCATGATCTACGCAAGTTGGAAATGTGTGACATTTACTCCCAACTTGAGGGGGAGTGTTGAGTTGGGCCGGTTTCAAGTTATTGGGCCCAGTCATTTATTTTTTATTTTTAAGTTGTTAAGTTAGGAAGTTATTGGGCTTTAGGCCCATTACCATTAGTTTATGTTTTTAAGTTGTGACTGTTCAGCTACTTAAAGTAGCCGCCCTACTAAGGGCATTCTTGTAATCTTTCATTATTTTATTTTAAGTATATAATTCAAAGAGGGGTTGGCGGCCAGATCTATTCAATTCTGGCTTCATCCCACTCTCTTTTCTTCTTCTCTCTCTTTCTCTCTTGCTGAAACCTTTCAGTGTCTTCTACTTTTCTTCACAAAGTATACATCAGAGTTAGTTGTCAGCAACTTCTACTTGAACAATAACATTCTAGAGCAAAAAAGTGAAACATAATGAATTCTAAAGTTAAAAAAAAAACGAAGGAAAGGTGCAAGTTAGATTAGATTTGTCTTAATATTTAATAAGACTTGTCTTCCTTTTTATCCACCATTTGATTTGTATTTTCTTATTTTCTCTCAATCATTGATGAGTATTTGATTAGTTTACTTTGGGATGCAGATTTCCTCAAAACGGGATATTGTAAATATCCTTGTTCATGAGGGGTTCTCTAAAGATGTGTCACAGGTTTGTTTAATCTCTGAAGATTTATCTTGTAAAAAGTTTATTTGCTTTTGCATTACAACAAGATTGTTCAGGAAGAATTTTCTCATTTACTATGTTCCATTTAAATCGTGTGCTTTCTTACTCTTGTTTTCTGTTTCAGTGGGTGGTAACTAATCTTCGCCAGACCAGCACTGATGCTTCATCATTATCTGGCTTCTCATGGATATTTGACCTCAATGGCATTGCAGAGATGTATAAATCATATGAAGAAACAAATTTATGGTATTTCTGTTCAGCAAATCATGTTTCACTTTTCACTTTGTGTTTTCTTTTTTCCTGTATGATTATTTTCTGCTTCCTTTTCCCTGATGTTTGACTGGAAAATATTTCCTGTATCATTTTCCACTAATTTTTGAAATTCAAGTTGCCAGGCATGTTTAATCTAGTTTAAATGCTTGCAGGAAAGTTGTGGAAGATGTGCCTCAAGGTGTTCATGTCAATTTCTTGAAAGCAGAAAGAAGCTTGCATAGGTGGGCTCTTGAAGATCTCCAAAGGATCCATGCTGCTGAGGAGTTGGCTGCTAATGAGGGAGGTGGTGTTGAGATGCATGTCCTAGAAGATGCAGGGCACTGGGTATGTAGCTTTCTCAGTTTAAAATTGTATATTTTTCAGGCTGACTATTTAATAAAAAGCCTCTTCGAGTAAAATTTTTCAGCATGAACCAGGGCCTTAGGTTTAAAGTATTGATACAGAAATAAGCTGATACTTTATGGTTTTTTGATATTATGGATATGTGCCATGGGTCAAATCGCCAAAACTCGTATATATCCCACTCATATCCACCTTATTTACCAATACTCAAGGTATTGGTCTTTATCTCTGAATATGGACAGATAATTGGAAAATATTGGCTGATATGTTACAATTTTTTAACAAAATCTATCCAATGATAGGGTTTAATTTGTCTAGTTATAGTTTGTTTATGTTTAAAATTTCAGAGTCATTGCATAAGTAGGATTAGAGTTATTGAGTCTTCTTTGAATTGAAATTGGATTTGATTGCTTAATTGAGTCCTACTAGGATTATTAAGTCTTTGAAAGTTTGACTCCTAAGACTATTATGAGTCTGACAATTTGATTCCTAGAATTATTATGAGTTTAGAGTCTATAAATATGTATGGATGTTTTACACAAAGGCAATGAAGTTTATTTTCTTCAGCCTATGCTAGCTATGGTGAGTGATCCCCATGCCCTAAAGTGATTCTAGGCACCCTGTAAGTGATTCCAGGTATTTTCTCTCTTCTTTCTTTCTCTATTTTCTCTCATATTCCTTCAAGAAGCCATTACAGCCATCAACAGCCATAACATTCTGATCCAAGAAGACCATTCAACATTCTATAAGGACTAGAATTGAGGCAGTCCTACATCACTATTGCTTTGAGGTAATAAAAGGAAGGCAAACTTCTCTAGAAGCTACCCTTTCTCTTATAAAATGCCGGTCAACTTCAATATGTTTTGTCCTGTCATGTTGAACTGGGTTGTGAGCTATGTTGATCGTAGTTTGATTATCACAATAAAGCATTAAGGGCTTATCATGTGTAATACCCATCTCCTCTAGAAGTGACCTAAGCCATAACAACTCTTAAACTCCATGTGCCATTGCCCTATATTGGAGAAGATGTGACTATCACTTTGTAAGAGAAAAAGTGATCAGTGGAGAGATAACTACAGCTCATGTGAGTTCAGGAAACCAGTGGGTAGATCTATTTACAAAGGGGCTGTCTTGGGGCAGAGTAGATTACATATATGACAAGCTGGGACTATATGACATATATTCTCCAGCTTGAGGGGGAGTGTTAAAGTCGAAAGTACAAGGGTATTTTGGTCCTTTGTCCATCCAATTGAGAGTGAATAGTCTGTTTTATTCAAGTTTAAGTTATGTGTTTCATCCTTAATGAGGGACAATACTGTCTTTTGCAATATAGCTTATACATTATAAATACAAAGTGGGTTGGCTGGGTGGTGTGACTTTTCTCTTCTGGCTGAACCCTTCTTCTCCTCTTTCTCTTCTTCTTCTTCTTACATACTTCGGACCTAGGACTGAATAATATTAATCAACCTATTCACAAAGATAAAGCTAGGTGTAATGAGAAAAATCATCAATAAACAGAATAACATATTTATAATTATCCATGCAAGGCAAATGGTATGGCCCCCACACATCAGAGTGAACAATATGAAAAGGAACTGTAGATCTTTTATTACTTGCAGGATAAGAATTTTTACAATGCTTTGATTACTCACATGACTCACAATGTAGACTTGACAACTTATTTTCTTAAAACAAATTTGGAAACAAAAGACTCAATGAAGAAAAAGAAATATAACCCAAACGATAATGATATAACATAATACGACTAACTAACTCTAACACATTTGAACCAAAAGCCGCTCTTGGAGGTGATACTTGACTTTGTCCAAGCATGTCTAGTAGGTATAATTCATTCGCCTCATGGCCACTCCCAATCACCTTCTGAGAGTCCATGTCCTGAAAAACACAATAAGAAGGTGAAAATGTCACACTGCAATTCAAAGATTTTGTCAAATTACTAACTAAAAGCAAATTAGTGTTTAATTTAGGAACATAAAGGACTAAGTATAAAGTGAGGGTGTTTGAAGTTTTGATGTTTCCCTTGCCAGAGATAGGAGCAAGAGATCCATCAGCAAGGGTGACCTTATCTTGGCCAGATGAAAGCTTGTAAGTAGAAAATAAATGGAACACACTAGTCATATGGTCAAAGGCACCAGAATCAATTATCCAAGGGATCCTACGATTACCTAGGATAGAAGCATGATTCGTAGTAGCACAAATACCTGAATGGGAATATACGGATGAAGAGGGAACTATCTCTGATGAAGTAAGTGTTGTAGCATTAGACTCCAGGTGACTAATTATTCGGCCATACTTCTCATACTCGGCCCTAGCGACTACTAGTTGCTCTCCCATTGACTTCTAACCGCTATGCCCCTGTTCACTCTATAAGGAGGTGGCTATTATTTGCATTTCCACTTTTCCCGTTCTCCTTCATTTTTCCATTGTATGCATTCTTGAGTCTGGAAGGTATAAGCTCTGGATGCAACTTCCAACAGGTGTCTTTAGTATGTTTAGGCTTCTTGCAGTATTCACAAAGAACATCTTTCTTCCCAATGTTGACCTTCGGCTTCATCCTAGTATTAACATAGTGATCCATCTATGGCTCTATAGATTGAACGTGTCTCCTACTCTCCTCACTACTCACCATAGCATAAGCCTGAGATAATATCACCTCATCCTTCGCCAAAACATTTTGTTTCAAAATATCACACTCCGGGTTGAGTCCAATAAGGAACTCAAAAATTCAATTTCTTTCCACCAGTTTTTTATGTGTTTCAGCATCCTTTGTACACCCCCAAACCACAGTGTCCATCAAATCAATCTCCTTCCAAAGGGATTTTAGCATGGAGAAGTAAACGGCCAAGGGCTCCTCTCCCTATCTTAGATTATTCACATCATTCTTCAATTTGTAAGCCCGAGCAACATTCAATTTTTGGGAATAAGTCTCCGTGACACTATCCCATACTTCCTTTGCAGATTCCATCCACAAGTAGTACTGGCTAATATGTGGCTGCATAGAATTCACTAACCAACCCACTACTGTGTAATTCTTTTACATTCACCTCTCATAGGTAGGGTCATCCTCCCCCGGTTTCTACTTGCTCCCAGTGATGTAACCCCATTTCCCTCTACTACACACATGTATCTTAATAGACTGAGACCAAGCTAAATAATTGGTCCCATCTAGCTTCACAGTGGTCACTACCCCAAAAAGATTCTCCTTAACCCCCATATCCAAATCTGGAATCTATGGGATATTTGGTTTCTCTGCCACTTTGCTCTATTGAGTGAAATGGAAATCAAAATAAGTCTCAACTAAGCTAGAATTGCTACCCCAAGCAAAAAAAACTACTCTTCAAACAGCCAAATCTAGAGTTTCACAAGACCCACCCGAATGGGAGAAGAGGAGAAAGTTCAATTGCTCCTGTTAGAATGCTCGGTCAGGGGTATTTTGGTCATTCTGGTTTATCTTCTTGAAAATGAAAGGTCTATTGTATCTGAGTTTAGGTTATGTGTCCCATCTTCTATGAGGGACAAAATAGTCTTTCTTGTAACTCTAAGTTTTATGAATAAAATTCAAGTGGGT